ATCATGTAAAATGAGTTCTCTGCAATATTGTTACGGATTACCTTATCAAATAGTTTCTGCTTTGGCATGTGTAGATTTCTTTGTAATACTTAGTAGGCAGCAGAAATGATGGGAAAAATCAGGACGCTTCCAGGAAATGGAACTGAAATTTTATCTCATGTGGAAAAAAAGAGAAAAACATTTTGCTTGCATTTTTTTTTCAAAATTGTACATTTTGATGTCACCTTAGCACAAGAGACATTTCAATGCCAGGATCTCGCAGTTGCTAGAAATTCCAGATGTTGCTCGGCTCCAGGTGTGGGACTGGGTGGCTCATGGCGGAGGCGGTGGCAGGTTCCCGCCACGCTCGTGGCTCCAGCCAGCCCCGTGTACCCAATCCTGCACAGATCCCAGCCCATTAATCCCTTTCAGCCCTGCTTTGCAGTGCTGGGACCGTAAATACCTCTCTGCTTTATTAACAATTTGCTTGATCTGCAGAGAAGACAATATTCTGTGCCGTACATACTTTCCCAATGAGTCACTCTGCCCCAAATCCAACCTTCTCGATACTATGGGTTTATTTTTTTAAAGTTTCTCTAAAAAATATAATAGCATAGCTAAAGCTTTTGTGAAGTATTTTCCAGTTACTTAGTGGCCAAGCCCTCGGCCCAGTATGTATTTCAGCCCAGAATACCTTTGGTAATCTTTGCCAGTATCCAATGTTGGTGGTCTTAAAATTCTACAAGCGAGTGGAAAACTGTTAAATGCTCGGGCTTCGAGCATGCCTAATTAATTCTTTGCAGGGTTTTAGTCCTTTAAAAAAATGTTAGAAACAGGGATTCGGTGTATCATTGAATATTGCATGGTTCTGGGGAAATAAATTGCATTGGTTTGATTCCTTTAGTAGTTCAGAGAGTTATTGCTCAGTGCTTACTCTGGAAGTTTGCAGGAATCTTTTAAAAGTGAAGGTTACAATAAGCGAAAGTTGCTAATGATGGGAATAGCTCAATAGCAAAGTGAGAGCCCAAAAACTCCAACAGAAAAGTCTGGGCACATGGATCAAGCAGCCACATTTGCAAATCGGGCTATAAACTCCAAAACCCATTTGTGTTCAGCACGTGGACTTTTTAAAAAAAAATTATTTTGGCCAGAAAATCACACTTGTGTTTATTTTATTTCTTGACTGTTTAAGGAGATTATAATGGCTTAGCACTGGCAACGCTTAAGAGGCAGGTGAGGCAAATTTGAGCTTTTTTAAACATCATAAGAAACATTAAGGATCTTTCAACATCCCAGCTTAGGTTATTCCTCTGAGAGATGTGTAGTCGGGCGAGACGAAAAAGGAGCATGTGATGGAGGTGAACCAGTGATTAGAATTTTAATGTCGAATTAAAAGGACAAATTTCAATATGGATATTGATTCCTCTCCCTCCCGGCACGGTTCATACTGGGGGGTTGCTCTTTACAAAACCCTCCAAGGATGTTGGTGGCATTTCCAAGGTATAGTTGGTAGCGCTTGGGTAGTGCTTGTCGTGGTCTGGATGGCGTTGCTCTCCTTGGTTTCTTCTTGTTCTGAAATTTGTGGAGACAAGAGTAAAGTCGGAGACCCATGAGAGATCTTCACCCCATCTACCCAAGGAAACCCTATGTAGAGCGTCTTTCAGAGCACGGCAGATCGTCAGGGTAAGTTCCGACCCAGAAAGGTATGGGGATCTCCACGGGCACTTGGGGAAGTTGCTGAAGGCACCCCTGAAATCTCATCTGTTTATAAGGTTGCAAGAAGTCCTCTGCTTTCAGCATGAGAGCGTTGAAAATATGTTGATCTATCTACGTAATGTATAATTTTTCTGCAAGTATGGCTCAAAACATAAAAAGTAATGGTACCTCAGCCCATGCTGATGGAGTCTTTGATCAATTGAAAGGTAATACACCAATTCTGTGAAAAACCTGAGCTGACTAGTCCCAGCTCCTTGCTGGAGTATGCAAACCTACTGTCAATTTCAGGATTTTTCATAAAGAAACCCAGGAAATGATAAGATGAAAAAATATCGATGAATTGATCATAATTTTAAAAAATCTTTTATTACAAATTTTACACCAATTTACATATTTAATGATTGCTTTCATTCTTTGATAGCTATCAAAAGGTGCTTTATCCTCCAGAATGGAACTTTTTCTTTGAGAATGTTGAAATGCACCATTCAAATTTAAGAAATTAAATTTTTTTCCAGAGGTACTCACTCACCCCAGCCCTTCCCTGAAAATGATTTGGTTTTTAAACCCCATGTTTTGTGATTAGTTCATCAGGAAATCCCCAGCCCTTTCTAGCTGTAGAGGGAGAGAGGGGGGCTGGAATGATTTATTGGTGGCTTTCTTGCCATTTCTTCTTTTTTTTCCCCTTTCTTTTCTTGTAGTATATATGTGTGTGTCCTGTCTGTTAACAAGGCTGTCTACTGCATTGTATAAAATCTATATGAACAAAATGCTTGCACAAAAGGAAACCAAAAACCTAATTTCCACTTTGAAACCAGAATGGGTCTGAATCTTATAATTAATAAAGATGTTTTTCTGAAGAGGAAAGGAACTAGTTTTTTCTATTAGACTAGTTTGTAAGACTAAAAAGCCTTATGAAAAAAGATTCTTATTATAAGATTTTTAATTTTGTCTATTTTTTTTTTAACCTGAAATAGAGAAGGAAGGGGGGTGCAGAGGTTGGGTGACCCCTGGATGAGTGGGGCTGAAGGAATTTGCTCCTCTGGCAGCCCCCACAACTGCTGGCCTGAGGATCCAACACCATCTGGGCTGGCTGGGTGCAATGAGGTTGATGTCTAATTGAAAAAAAATAATCAAGGTGAATGGAAGGAAACATAAAGGGGCTGTAGACATAAGGCAGCTGGCAGTGCCCCAGGCATGTTCTCATTGTCCATCACGTCCAGGAATTTCTCAGATCCTAATAGCGATGAGCACGTGCGTGGGGCTGTGCCAAGGAGAAGGGAAAGCTTGTTGCATGGAGAGATGTTTTGACTTTGCAAACTGAGTTCCTATTCTGCAGCCTAGGAATCTGGGAAATGTTTGGCTGGGCACATAAGAGCCCGTGAGGAGCCAAGGCTGGGCACCAGCAATGCTCGGCTGCAGCCACGCAGGGGATTTTCTGCCAATGGGGTCGACAATTGTTGAGGACACCTTCCAAATGGCAAACGGCGCTAACTCGTGAACGCACATTAGCATAAATACAGCAGCGCCAAATACAGCTGACTAAAAAGCATAGATGTGGAAGTATGCATTAATCCCTTTTATTTTAAAATACATGAGTGCCCACTTTGCATTTTAATTTTATGCCATTGCAGTGCAGTCTGCAAAAAAAGTCCTCACTTCTGGTGTGCAAACCCTTGTCTTCACTGAGCTCCTGAAGGAGCATTGCCAAATCTCCCTCCGTCAGTAGTGTTCAGCTTTGAGATATAGATCACAAGAATAGATGGCAACCGATTTTCTTTGTGACTTCAGACAGGTTTAACCAGGATTATGTTAGTTAAACAGCAACTGATTGTAATGACACTTATCGAAGATTAATTGGGTGATAGATATATGGCAATTTGTATTTGATCGACCACTTTATGTTCAATACCAAGAGATCATCTCATTGAGGCAATCATCATCTGCAAAGTAACCAAATGACTGTGAGATGGTATGTTTTGAAGTTCAGAACTATGGAAAAAGAGCAGATGCGCTGGGCTGCCCAGGGATGGGCTTGGAGAGCGTTGGTACGTGTAGGTAAGGGACAGCCAAAGGTGATGGAAAATGCAGAGGACAGAATAAATTATTATACTTTAAAGCCTGTTGTGCTTATGGAAGAAGAGTGAGCATATTCATCCATCCACATGCCTCACCAGGTGGCTACAAGTGTAGTCAAAATTTTAGCCAGCCCTCTCCAGTTCCCCTAACTGGTGTGCAGTTTCTCTGAGATACTCGTATGTTCACAGTTAACTTTATTAAATTCATTTAGAAATTAGTTTGGCCACACAAAATCCTATAGGATAAGGAAGTCAACATCTTTATCTCTCCCCCTTTTTAGAACAGGTCATGACATAATCTAGGGTTAGAAAATCAGAACTTGGATTTTCACTGTGATTTAAATTTCCTCCCCCAGCCTCCTGGCATGTCACAGGAATATAGTTATTGCCCTACAGAAATTATAATTTTCCCAGTCTGGCATCAAGTTCCTGGCAGTGATTTACAGCAGATGCTCCAGCAGAAGACAAAAGCATTAGGAACCAAACAGCAGCAAAATTCCATGCAGGAATGTCCTTGTCCCCGTGGGACACTTCTTCCCCAGCAGGCTCGGGCGGTGGGAGGGGTATGGATGCTATACAGTCCGCTCTTCTGTGTCAGGAGAGAGAACATCCTTCTACAGCTGCACAGCAGGACACTCTGGTTATATTGGTACGTCCACACAATTTTAACACTCCTTGTCTGGCTAGATGGTCTCTAGGGTCCCTTCCAACCCAATCCATTCTATGATGGGGACCTGCCTGATTTAAATGTGTTTGCACGGGTTGATTGCATCACTTCTGAGCTCACCAAGATTTTAAGAGACATTTAAAAGATATCACCAATGTTTTAATGCTATTGCTTGGATTTAAAACCTCTCCAGCGTTCTGGGCGGTTCTGCATTGTGACCGCCCGTCACCTACAGACCCTGCCTGCCCATCCAAGGCTCGGGGCTCCCTGCACCACTCTTCTGGAACACAGAACACAGCCATGTGGTTCATTTGGAAATCTTCCTGCTCCCTCTCAATAGCTATTTGTCATGTTCCTTAATGCCACAGCTGTTTGGTTCCACCAGGTCATCTGCTTTTATTAGTCCTCTTCCCCCCACGCACTGAAACTCACACCAGCCAGGAGAAGATTATTATCCGCGGCCAAAAATAGCGCTTCTCTCGTCCCCCTCTTCCAGCGACCCGGGAAACTTCGGCGTTTTGCTTCTTTTCTGATTTCCCATTCTGCTGTCCACCTGCTGCCCCATGAAGGCTGGAGTAGCCGCCCTCGCAGCCGGGATCCTCGGCGGCACCGGCGTCTTGCTCTTCCTCATTGCTTTTGGGACAGATTACTGGCTTCTGGCTACGGAGACCTGCGGCGTCTTCCAGAGTGGCAACAGCACCCTGCAGAGCGTGGAGGTAAACTCAGAAATCTTGTCTGCCTTTGGAAAAAAATGACTTATTTAAATAATTTAAAGTTTTAAATGTTTAAAGTTTTAAAATTTTAAAGTTTTAAATCTGCAATAATATTTATGCTCATTGAAAGTGACCTGCTAATTAAAAAATATACACAATTTTAGATATAGTTATATATATAAAATATCAGCCTGAGCTGATTTTAAAATCCAACCCAGCATTTCCCCAGTATGTAGCATTTTGACTGAAGGAAAGCGCGTGTAGGAAACATTGAGACAGCGCCTCTGTAATCTGGCAGATATGAACATGAGGGAATGAAAGGCAAAAAATGTAAGAGCTTTACTTGTTGACAGCATTTACCTCTGAAGACAAAAGATATCTCCTGCTATTTGCTATTAAAACATTTCTCCCTCTGTAGTTGCTTCATTTAAAAATAGTTTGTGTTTTAAAGTGCAGGGCTTGGCAATCATTTACCTCTGAAGCGATGTGACTGCAGCACAGACAGAAAACAAAAGAGAACATCAGGTGCGGAACAGAGCAGGCAAGAATTCCTGCCTGTCTAACAAGAAGAGGCCTCTATAGTTTAAAATTAAGATTTATATAGAATTTTAGAATTTTCAGAATTTTTGAAGGACGATTTGGTATTTTAGCGCTAACTGCTGGCATCACTTATCATTGTCTAACTCTTCAATGGAATAACAACCAGATCAGTTCCTCGAGCCTCCCACTCTTCAAAAATGTTTTTGTGCCGATCAATGTGTGGTTTCAATTACAAAATGACAGGAAGATCCTTGTTGTGTGCAGACTTTTCGTTACTTCGAAGTTCAACCCCATTAGGTTTCATTTTTTTCTGGTGTGGTGAGTCACGCTGGGTAAGCGTCATGATGCCAGTGAGAAATATTTTCTTTCTTTTCAGCATCCCATAATCAAATGTAGGACACTGTTTGCTTGAGTCGTGTTTCCAAATGACTTTCTCTATTGAAAAAAAAGTCATGATAGAAAAAATGCCTGGCAGAAGACACTGTCTTTACAGTTTAAAGCAGGTCTGTAAAGCCCTGGAGATGTCAGAGTCCCGGGTGGAGAATTGCTGCTCAGGTTTTGGGCACTTGGGAAATGACAATGTTAATTGTTTCAGATTTTTTGTTTATGCTATTATCTTTTAAAGTGGAGAGACTAGAGACGCTGCACTGCACGATGTGAATAAGCATCTCAAATATTTCAGATACGCTCTTGGCCAAGTGTTAGCATGCTTGTCTCTAAGGCAAAACAACTTCAAAAGCTCCGGGCAGAAATAGGAACTGCTCTTACTCTTTCCTCTGAGCTATTTTATTTCTATTTCAGTTACTGGTTGTGTATAATGGGCTGTGTTTTTACAGATAAGGATGGTCTCAAGTATCCGCCAAACAGCGATGAAAGGTGCCGTAGACGCACCAAGCCAGCAGCCATCCAGCTGATGGTGTTTGAGGGCTGCATGTTCCCATTACCATAGCTAGTATTTTATCCTGAAAATAAAAGGAGAATCAGGTCAGAGCTCTGGAACTGGTCATGACTTGATGCATAAAAACCTTGAGGCAGGGGAAGCGTCTTCTGTCACCACCCTACTGAGTCCTGTCTCCTTTCTCCAGTTCACAGGGTCCAAGACTGTGTGGAGCTTCTCCATCCTTCACAAAATGTAATTTTATAATGGTCATGTCTCCTTTACCCAATTGTATGTGATAAAGGCAAAATTGATTTTGGCTATAGTTTTAATAAGGTTTTAGGTAAATAGTCCATGACTCAATTTTGCAATACCCTTCCTTCTGGAAAGACCTAAATTTTGTGCTCGCAGATCTGGTCTGGGGGTTGAAGTAGACTCACCAAAAAAAGGAAGAATTGTCAACACCTCTATCCTGGTCTATGTGGGCAAAGAGTGATTTCTCTCTCATGCAGGTTTAGCGTAACTTCTACTGGGCTCAGCAAATGGAGACCAAGAATAAAACCTTTGGGCTGGTGATTGGAAGAGGCTCAATGGGGGTGTTGGAGTTGGGCTGTCTTTTGGGGTTAAAGCCAGACTTTCCATGGATCCTGCAGAGGGACAAAGACAGCTGAACTGTTGCGTTGGGTCATCCCTAAAATTGCTTACCTGGTAATCAACCTGCTTCCAACTGGTTACAACAGTTGTAAAATCTACTTAAGACAAGTACCCACCCACTCTGGCAATCAGTGGTTAAGGATATAAGAAAAAGAAGAAACTGTATTGTGAAGGTCTGCAGGACATTTTATGAGAACATTTTGTATCTCTGATAGGGCAGAAAGTCAAGGACAGCAGTTGCCTCTGTGTTCCCCAAACCCCCCACAACCAACGCAAACAACAACAAATGAAAACCCCAACAAAAAATGAAAACAGCAACTGCCTAAGCAAAAAATACACAATTTCCACCTTTCCACCATGATCAATCCCGGATCAGCTTGGGCTTTCATTCCTCCACAGGCTGAAGCTCCAACAGAGGTCAGGCAGGAGATCCTCACTTTCCACCACGAGGGGTTCTTCTGGCGGTGCTGGTTCTTTGGCGAGGGCCACTCAGAGACCATCTGGACCTTCTGGTACAGTGAGTATGATACCACTGCTCCATGTTCACAGCATTCACTCAAAGTCTGAATTTTAAACAAGCACCACAAGGGCTCCCAGGGATGAGGAAACAGTTGTCTTTATTTCTTTTTTTTTTTTCATCATCTCCCTATCAAAAGCTTGGCTCACCCTTTCTGTGCTCTTTTTTGACCTGGGTTTTGCTCTCAGAGGGTTGTTCACAGAAATGTAGGAACCTCTTGATGCCATTTAATATATCACTTGCAAAGTCTTATGGAGTGGTGGCTTCCACCAGCAAGGACAACTCTCCCCCCTCGTTTTGCTTGTTAAGGTCATTGAAATTTCATGTGCGAATAAAAAGAGATGGATGCAAAATCATTATTTTTTTTCCTGAAAGCGCATTCGCTCTTCAAAAAAAATTGAAGGACAAGGTGAAACCTGTTCTGAGGCACCAGTTGGTGCTGACTGGTGGCCCACGTGCAGTGAAGTGTGGGGTCTTGGCCCAGTGAACCACCAGAAAGAGCAAAAGAGCGAGACCACCCCACAACACCCCTGGCACCAGCCCCGCCGGCATCCAAGCCAGCAACCAGCTCACCTGCACTAGTGCACGGTGGGTAATTAGAGGAGGACAGACTTGCCCTGGGATGCCACAACCCTAGAGAAGTATTGGGGATTAAAAAAAAAAAAAAAGTTCTGCAGAAGTATTTTTTAAGCTTTGACCCTGTGCTCGCTGGTGCTTCAGTCTACTCAAAGATGCTGACATGCCCGTGGAGCAGTGTGATCACCTTGAAAGGCATTTGGCTGCAAATAATGCAGCTTCTCACAATAAATCTACTCTGCAGGGATTAAAATTTCCGATGACTTTGCTGTCCCCTGGTCCCTGACCTGTGTTTCCTGTGAAATCTTGCAGGAACAGTTACTGTCACCGTTCAACTGAATGACGTGAGATTTTTTGCACAGAAATTTTTTGATAAAAAAGGACAGGCTGGAGAGAGGGAATTTGCTATCTAATTACATTATGTGGAAATACATGATATAATATAATGTTACCTGAAGTGAAATGACTCTTTCTGATAACTGGCAAATTTGTACTACTTCTTTAGGTATTTATTATAATAGGATTGATCATGGCAAATTAATTTGCTGCTCTCATGGATGTAATAATTAATTCAATAGGTATTCCGTAGTCAATTTAGCATGAACTAATGTCCACCTATTATAAAGTGTTCCTTTGAGCTGGGGAACATATTTAAATAAGTGGCCAGCCATTAATTAATTCATTTAACATTCAATCTATTACCGTTAATCACGATAAGCCTCAGTGGTATTAATATTGATGGGGCACTTCCACTCTCCTTGTGCTTTCCCGTCTTGCAAACTGGAGGCTTTGTAAGGTACCTTGTTCTGGAACCCAAATACCTTTGTCCCTTCTGGGCCATCTGGCACATTTTCTGGATGAAAACAACAATGGGAATATTTACACTGGTTTCAGTTGCTCCATCTTTCATGATTTATGTCCACCCCAGACTCAAGCTATGAAGATGAGAAGATGTACAGGTAGCAGGCTCAGATCCTGTTATATCTTCCCTCTCTCATCATTCTTCTTTTTTTTTTTTTTCCTTTCTTTTTTTTTTTTTCTTTTTTCTTTCGAACCAGGATTTACTATCCTTCTTTACTCCCCAGCCTTTTGATTTCAGTGAGGGTTTTTTTGTAGGTTTTGCAAAATAGTACATTGCCATCTGAATACTGCAGCTGTGATTTTTGCAGAAAATAAAAGCAAACGGGGCTCTTTTTGTTGTTCTTTTCCAGCCAGCCAAGCACACCCCAAGTTCTGCATGCATGGTTACCTCTTTCCCATGCCCATCGCTCTCGGACCTTTCCCCCATCCTTCCTACGACACAACAGCAGGTGGGTCTCATTCCTCCTCCCCCAGCAGCTCCTTTCCCAGGCGATGGGGCAGAGATTTACCATGTGTGTCAGTGCTGCAGTTCTTGTTGCAAATACATGTGGCCAAGCATGACTAAGACTTTTGGCAAGCTCCTTTACAAAATAACCTTTCTCAGTTGACTGTCCCAAGCTGTGAGCACATCGAGATGTTCTCCCACATCTTCCATGCCTGGCCATGAGCTCTGCACCCTCCTGCTGGGTGCTCAGTACCCACTCCTATGGGCAAGGGAGGATGCTAAATCCACCTTCTCCCACCTCCTTGCTTACTGGGAGGAGCTGGAGGCAAAGGGCTTCTGCCCCATGGCCAAATCCGGATCCTGCAGGAGAGCAACGCAAATAATTTCTTCTGGGCTCCAGCCTTGTTGCAGTCCAGTGCTGACGCGTTTCCAGAGTTTCTGGGAGAGCTCTGGTGTTGATTTGTTGCAAGGCAAACTGAACAAACACTGGAAAATCAGCTAAAGACCAAATTGTTCAAAGATCCACCTAAGTGACTGGCTTATTTTAATACACCGAGTACGACACAGTTGGAGAGCTGTCCTTTCAACTGGTTCCCTTTCTATTTGTGTTTCTCTGTATTTTCAGAGTTCTTTAATGAATCAGCTGCTGGTAGGAATTTTAATTTGCTAAATTGGTGGCAGCAGCTAGAATTAATTCAATGATCTTTGTTGAAATGAATTGATTTCTTTAAATAGTGTGCATCACTCTGCGTTGCCTCCGGGGATCTGGGGCAGGCATACTGCAAAAACAAACATCTTGACCTTTTCCTTAGCCTTTAGCAGTACCTTTTCTATTTTTATATGGGTTTTTTTATGAGGAATTAATTTAAAAAGAAATTGTCAGTAGGAGCATGTGAGGGAGAGCAGCTAGTTTCATTTGCTGTGCTGTGCAGGATTCCTGCCTTGGGGAACATGCTGTGGTGTAAAATGGATACAAGGACCTGTCGAGGGCAGAAGGAGGAGCCCGTGGCAGGCTGTGTGCGGCAAACACGCGAGTTTAGCTGTGGGTTTTTATCTCCTTGGGAGAGGCAGGCGTGACGTCTAGTTTCTGAATGATCTCGCTGATAGACACACTATTTTTTCCGTACTAAATAAAGGGCCCTGGAGTCATCTGTCCCTGCCCGTCAGTCCATGCTATGAAACCTCTTCAGCTGCTTCCCAGAAATGCCCCTTGGGACGCATCCAGGGAGGTGCTGGTGAGGGGCTCTGAGCAGCCCATTTTTAGTGTTGTGGTTTTGAACCCAGCTAGCAGCACACAGCCGCTTGCTTACTCTCTCTCCTCCTGGGGAATGGGAGAGAAAATTAAAGTGGTAAGGGAAAAAGAGACTTGTGGGTTGAAATAAGAACAATTTAATAACTAAACTACAATAATATTGGAAATAATGATAATAATAATAATGATGTTAATAATAGTAATATATACAAATGAGTGACACACAGTGATACTGCTCACCACCCAATTACCAAGGCTCTTTCCAGAGCAGAGAAGCTGGAAAGTCCCTGACTGTCCTGGCAGCAACTGTAAACACCACTGTATTATCAGCTTTCTTCTCAACACAGATCCAAAGGCAGCCTCTCACTAGCTACTGTGAAGAAAGTTAACTCTGTCCCAGCCGAAACCAGGACAAGGGGCTGCACCCTGGGGTGCTGGGGGGCTCCTGGCACCCACCCTGGTGTGATCCAAGGAACTGAGGGTGGCTCAGCACCCATGTTTAGGGCAGTGGGAGCATCGGGCTCCTCTGCTGCACCAATCCCGCTGCAAAGCATTCAAACGTCTGCAGAGAGAGATGCTTCTGCTGTTAAAACTTGTTTTATTTCAAACCAGTCCATCCTCGTATGCAAATGATGACAAAACCTCATCCAAGAAGAGGGGTCCTCCAGCTATTACCTGCTCCAGAGATAATTCTGCCTTATCTGCATCCTCTTAGGCTCCCTGAGAGAAGCGGGTGACGGGAGGTTAAACATGAAAATGAATTCTGTGGTTTTGGAGAGTTCAAGATACTTATCTCTCCCTAAGTGGCTCTCCTGACAAAATGGTTTCAAATGAGGAAAACGCATCTTCTCTGTATCATTTTTCTTTCAAGTGTGAATAATTTCAGCATTACCCGCTTGCTCGTGCTTGGCTTAAATCTCTCCAACTGGTGCTTCTGGAAAACAGCAGCCAGAGGGGGATGCGGTGGTCCGAGGGGTTGGATAAATCGGGGGAGTGGGGAGCAGGGTATCGGAGGATGTCTGCCTGAAGACCACCACCTTTGGCCAAGGTTTATGGCAGGGACTGGAAGAGGCTTGGTTACTGGGAGACTGAAATTAGTGGGCTATGTCCCATCCCGCAGGACGTGATGGACGCAAGCTTGCTCAGCTCCAGCTGGTGTGGTTGCAGAAATCACGGTAAAACCCCCAGATGCCGTGGGTGAAGAGGCAGCTGTTCTCCTGCCCTGTTCTTTCCCTTGGAGTCAAGCGAGGCCACCAATGGGAGAAATCCTGAGCCCCTGTTTTCCCTGCAGCCCCGCTAACAAAACCCACCTTTATTTTAAACCAGGAACCTGGCACCTTCTCTAAGTGTTAATTATAACGGAACAAAGCTTTGGGCTGATTCCACCTCTCCAAATTTTGCTATTTTCTTTCCTTTCTTGCCAGCCTCTCCAACCCCCTCCCCCAGGCACAGCTAAGCACCGTGTCCTTTCCTCTCACCCCCTTTTGCGGTGTGCTTCCCTGGCAAACCCTTCCCACCCCTTGTCCTCATTCCAATCCCATTGTGTAGGGCATGACATCCAACCCCAGCTTGCACCAGTTCCAGGCATGCTGCACCCACACCACAGCAGGGAGTTAGCAAAGCAGGAGCTCCAGCTCTACTTCACGTGAACAACATTCCCAATTTTTGCTTTTACAGTTGCTGAAGCAGGAGTTAAGCACGGACTTCTGAAACCCTCCTTTTCCTCTCTTTTCCCCTAACTTGACTTTTTTCGCCCATGCAGTGTACAGAGGCTTCTGGACGGCGTTCATCCTGCTGGCTGTCGCCGCCGGGCTGGTGGGAGGGCTGCTCCTGGTGTGCGGCGTGCCCTTCGGCAGCCCCCGCTCCTACAAAGTCGGAGGCGGATTCCTCCTGG